CCATCTTTGTGAATAAGCAAAACTAATTTCAATTCACATGAATATATTCAGAGAAAAATAGTGAACAAATACTATTCATCTTTTCTCCTTCTATTCTCTGTATGACAGTGTGTCAACCACCATCATTTGAAGAAGCAAAATTCTTCTGTATTCCCCAAATTGCCTTTTAGAAAATATCTCCCAGAGTGGATATGTAACATCTCCTAGGTGTTACCACATTTCTAAGTTTACACTTCCCTACATAGTTCTGGGCTATAAGGGCCCACCAAAAGCATTTTGCATGAGATTTGCAAAGCGGAGGTGTGCTCTGCCTTCTCTGCTGTGACGTGGGATAACAGGTAGGCTAAGATCTCCTTCCGGGTTTTCCTTTCGGCTTGTCTACATCCTGACACAGAAGCATAAACATAATGAAGGATGTCATCTCCTGCAACTTATCACAGATCAAAAAGTCTTGCATTTATGCAAAGAGATTGAGTGTTGAAAATAAAATAGTTGGTGAAAAATAATATTCATTTTTTATGTTTTCTGAATCAAACTGATTTCTTAAGGCAAAAATATTTTAATGTAATGATTGTGTGAACTTTATGTGGAAACAAAATATTTGACAGCAATAGCAAAAATGATGGGAGGCAGGAATGGAAGTTATATTTTATAACATGCAGACAGTATGGTAAGAGAATGACTAACTTTTTTAAATGCATAAATAAGAGTTTAATAATATAAAAGAATTTTCTAAAAATTCAAAACTAGCTGAAGACAGAAAATGTATTAGTAGAAGATGTGTGTGAACAAGAACAGATGGAACAAAGAGAAAAGAGCTCACTGAGACAGATTTCAACCCAAGTGTATCAATAACATAAAATATGAACTAAATGCTAAATAGGAGAGAGACATCATCACTGCAGATTTTAAGAGGTAAGTTAAAAATATATGTTGTCTTTAAGAAATTCACCTTAAATTTAAAAGCATATGTCAGTCAAAAATAAGATCTAGAAAGGTATAACATGTATATTGTAGTCAAAAGAAATATAAAGTGGCTATTTTAATAACAGAAAAAATAGAATTAAATTTATGGATTTTTATAAAGAGTAAGAAGTAATATTAGTAATTACTATATATATAATAAACAGTATATATTTATATATATTAATTATCAGCACAGACAATATTTGAAATAGATTCAAATAAATATGGTCAATAGATTACAGTAAAAGTAAGTTGGCAATTTCATAGAGAAAGAATAGATTTTTAATAAATTTATTGTCACATTTGGGCATACATGTGTAAAATAATTAAAACAAACACATGTTTATGCTGCTCAAATGAACAGAAGTTCTACCATTCATTTAACCAAAGAAAATTATAGATGGATAGGAAGTAGGCATAGTAAAATATGACCAGCATTCTTTATCATTAGAAAAATACAAATTAAAACACAATAAGATAACACTAAGTGTCTGTTTAAAAAGAGAAAAGTGTAGATATTGCACGACTTAGAAACTCCCCCTGAGTTGGCATCAATAACCTGAGCTTTTACAAATGTATTTTCATGTGAATGTGTATATCTAAATCTGCATGGGCTAAAGCTAAATTGTGTATCTGGGAGTTTGCCAAAATAAGTTCCCATGTATGATACAAATTATACTAAAAGATAAGTAAAGGATACACACTAATTTTAAGTTTGCATCCATATTATAATATATCTTTATTGAGTTTGAAAAATAATATTTTGAGGAATTTTGTGTCATAATTTTTAGTGAGAAAGTAAGAAGTATTCTATTATAAGTTTTAAATTTCCCAATATAATTTTTAAAAAGAAAACTTTTAACCGGTATTTCTATTTTTAATAAATTTTCTATAGGTAATAAACTCCTTTATTCTCTGTATACAGATCAGATCTATTCTATCACCCAACTTTATTATGCCACTGGTATAAAATCTGTTGTTCACAATGAAATGTATTTGTGTTACTTGGATGTTTCTCCTCCCTTTTTAGTATAAGTAACACTTTCTAAAAAGCAATGGAATCTGAAAACTTTAAGCTCTTATTGAATTTTTTTCTTACCTCTTTCTTATTTGGTATTTTCACTTAATTTCTTGAAATGTATCTGCTTAGTATTAACTTATTTCTACTCAACCTACCAAAATCAAGGAAAGAATATGATTTGCTACACATATTCTGTGCCAACCTTATTAAAGCCATACTGTATCTGGATATGAACTATACTTTTATTCTCTGCTATTCCCTTTTAGCAACAACATTAAGATAATATGAAAAAAATAACTTTGTTTATTTTGCATAGCTCCTCCTGAACTGTATTCTTGCTAATCAAATTTTATTCCTCTAACATCAATTTCCCTTGATAATTTCATGAGCTTTTCATTTTATTCTTTATTGTCACAACAAAAATACATTTATTTTTCATTTACATGACTTTTCACAAACAGTTCACATGTGAAGTTTTTTTTGTTTTTTGTTTTTTCCTGGTGGTGACTTATACAATTGTTTCAATTCATGTCTATTTGATCGATCTTTCTATTTTTTATTCCCAAGAGTATTTTTTTATTCCACACAACAGACCAATTAGTTGTAGTAATTTTTATTGACAGATGTATGTCAATTTTTGTATAAGCAAAAATAAAAAATAAACTATGAACAACCATTGTATATTCATCCTCAAATTTATGACACAGAGAAAATCATGCTTCCTCTATATAAATACTATCCTCCTATGTTTTATTTTCTAGCAATCTCCAGTTTTCCTTTAATTTCATCTTAAAAGGTACATTATAGGGACTCATAAAACAATCTTTTAAAAAATCTTCATGAGTGGAAATATGTACTCCCTAAGTTAAAAATTTTTACTGAATTTTTTGGGTGCAAAATAAAAACTCATTATAGAACTGATTGAAGAGGCTGTTTGGTTGGAGTCACTGTGTCTCTTCCTAAGATTTTCTACTTTTATATCATCAAAGGAATGTTCCATGACAACATTTATCACTCAGTGGATGAACTCATTGTTGTTGAACATGCACCTTTGTGAATCACTTGGGACCTGTAACACCACATGAAATTCATGCATTTTGATGAGAGACAATGGAAATCATTCATAGATAGGACTGAACAGGGAAGACTCAACATAGGCAAGAGTCATTGATCATTCTCTGGAACAGATTCCAATATAGTAAAAATGAGAAACAAATATCAGTGCTCATTTGGAATTGGAAGAAGACACAGAAACATTAATTCATAATCAACTTCTAAGTTTTTAAATAAAAAGAAAATTTAAAAAGATCTTATCTCAAAAGTTATATAGCATATGCTACAGTCCTGAAATAACCAGAAATGTTGGGCAAGATAGATAAATCTCGGACTATCTGATACTTACTGCTGCTCCAACAAGTACCATAAAGTGGTAAGCTTAAAACTACAAAATTTTGCCAGGCACAGAAGCACATGCCTATAATCCCAGCAATTTTGGAGGCTGAGGAAGGAGGATCGCACATTCAAGACCAGTCTTGGCAACTTAGACCCTGTCTCAAAATTTTAAAAAAAATTAAAAAGGCCTGGGGTAGAGTAACTCTAGGGTCAATTCCCAGTATAAACATATACAGCAAAAATTTTGCCTTCAAAAAATAATTCTGAATGCTAGACTTCTGGAATCAGGATGTCAAGAAAACGACAATGTTCTTTTCAAAGATCATACAGGAGAATCTGTTCATGTCTGTCTTTTAGCCTCTGTTTGTACTAGAAGCCAAGATTTCCTTGACTAGTCAACATCTCACTCTAATCTCTCCTGTGTAGTCACATGGAATATGACTAATGTTATTAGTCAACTGGGGTCTGAAAATAGAGTACAGTACAGTACAGTACAGTAGGCTATTTTGAGATATAGTAACTTTTATTAGAGTATATAGTTATAAATATTCTATTTTAATATTAGTTACTATTGTTGGTATCTTATTGTTATAAATTGCCTTTTATCATAGGTATGCATGTATAGGGGAAAAAATCAGAATATGCAGAGTTCGGTACTATCCATAATTTGGGGTATCCACCAAAATATTCCTCACAGAAAAGGGGAGGCCACTGTGCATTAATCACATTTGATTAAGGGCACACATTTCTCCAGTATGACCTCATTTTAACTAATTTGATCTGCAAAATATATACTTCCAAATAAAGTCCTGTTCTTATGTTTTCAGAAGTACCCAAATTTTGAGTGAACACTATTCAACCCATATTATTCTTATTTTGTAGGGTCAGAGATTGTGGAAGGACAAATAGAATAGAGCAACAGACTTCTACACCTTGGACTACCAAGGAGGCCCCCAAAGTCAAGAGGTTCAGATGAATTCCCTCTTGAACAATGCTCAGTTCAGAAAGAAATATCTATAAGAAAGATGATTTTCCTTATATAGCATTAAAATTTTTAATAATTCATGACTGTATTGAAAATAAAAGATGCTGCTGAGAATTTAAATATTATAAAGAATGTTATTATTCTAAGTACTAGTAAGTCTGAATTTATTTAGTTATATGGAATATCATTACAGTATGAACAAAAAGTGTCAGCACAGCAAAATTGATCTGACACAGTTAGTTACTTGCTTGTATTTTTATTGATGTTCATTTCTAAGCTGTGCTATTACCAAGTAAAAATTCCATGGCAGAAGTAATTTTAATTAAAAATTCCTTAAAATCCATTGTACTTAAAAGTATGAAGAATGACACCAGATATTATGTATTCAAAATGAAAATTTATTAGAATAAAACTCCAGAAATGTTACAGAAGGGAAAGGCAGAGAGCCAACCCATCACAACTAATAAGAGATAACGAAGTGCAAATTGAAGAGTTGAATCCTTTAACAGAGACATGGATTCCCATGGTTGCAATGGCATCAATGCATGGTGGTCTGATCTTAAAAATAGAGAGAGAGAGTGCTATAGAATTAAAATTTGAGAAACATTCTGAGTTCAGCAGTAATGCCGAACTTTTTCAGTAAAATCCAGATGAGTAGTATCTTCCATAGAAAGAGGGACGGAAGTAGCCATAGCCATAACCACCATAGCCCCCAATGCCATAGCGGGAACCATAGCCATAGCCCAGGCCACTGAAGCCACCAAGGCCATAGCCCAGGCCACCATAGTAGTTGCCATAGTAGTAGCTCATTGTGTCAGGGGATGAGGACTGGGTCTGAAGTTGAAGGTGAGCGTCCTGAGAATGGATGTCACCCTGTGTCCTGGACTTTTATACTTTTTCAGTGCAGCTGTGGCAAACCACAACAAAGGAGGAACATTCTCTTTAAATATCTCTCCATGATGAAAAACAATACTAATAAGACATACCTGTCTTAGGTGTAGTCCGAAGGATAAGTGGAAACATTTTTCCTTTTAATTTGGTTTAATATTCCTTACCCAAAATTCATTTTGATAATGTTTTTAGTGTCAGAGCTGATTTTTAAAATTTACTTTTACATTAAAATCGAATCTTTCTAATTTTCTTCCACTAGGTAGATTTCTTTTGTTTTCTGAAGTTTTTTTTTTAAATTGTCACATGATAGTTTGTAGCTTTTACTGTTCCCTAAATAATTTAAGCTCTTCCTTTTGTGTAAAATTAAATGATTAAGTCATTAACAAACAGAAGTGTTTATAATCAATTAGATGACAGAGAACATTTATTCAGAAAAACATGGGCAATTCACAATCACCCTCCTTATTGGATATTCTGTGCTGTGACCTCGTATCCACCTTTGTAAATACTAAAACTCTATAAGAATTTTGTAAATACTTGTAAATATCAAATTCTATAAGGGAATAGATCTGCTCTAGCACAAGAGAGCACAGTTTTCTTCCTATGATTCCCTTGCAGGGACATCCTTTCTGTTTAAAAGTGATGTCTCATGTTTCTTAAAACTGGAAGTTTATATCTTTATCACAGATATTTTCTCTTGGGGAAAAATATATCTTGTCTTTACATGATTTTTATCCATGTTATCCACAACTCTAGTGGCCTACTACAGTTGCTCACCTTTATCTAGTAGAGATATAGTAGAGATAGGTTCTAGGACTTCCAGTGGATGCCAGGAACCAGATAGTACCAAACCCTACTCATACATACATACTTATGATAAAGTTTAATTCATAGATTAAACATGGTGAGAGATTAACTATAACTCTTAATAAAATACAATTATATCAACATATTTAAAGTTACATAAATATGATTTCTCTTTCTCTCTTGAAAGAGTAAAATATTAACATTTTTAGACCACAGTTGGTCCTGGGTAATAGCAACTACAGAAAAGGAATCCTCAGGTAAGGGGGGTTGTATTATAAATTCCTTGCCCATTTCACACTGACACCTGGTGGTCAAATTCCTTTGTGTTTTACTTTTTATTTATTTATGATTCCAATGTAACATGTTGATTCTCCAAGACTCAGACATTTGAGACGAAGTTACTGGTGGAGCAGGGGATCCATGAGACCCTAACACTGACCTTACAGAATTTCTCCAAGCCAGTAGGAACTCCTGAGCAAAGATTGCCTATAAAGAAGGCCCATGTTGAGCAAAGACACTGCATCCAGCCATTGGCTGGTGGCTGTCCTAGAGAGTGTGTCTTGGCTCCAGTCCTGTCCTAGACCCTGGCAGCACTAGCATCTTGTCATGCTCCTAGGCAGTGACTCCTTCTTGGAAGAGTAATTTGAGAGAGGATCTCCATATCTACCACACATATCCTCCAGTTTGAATACCAACAGATGGTAGGTACAGTCTGACATCAGATGGCAGAGGCTTAGCATAACACCTTGGAAAAGCAAGAGTGTGTATATGTTGTGTGTTTGGGAAACTGTTATAAAATCCTTTAAAATGTTATGTTATAGATAAAATAGTAGGCATTCCATACAGAATACTTCAAATTTTTTATTTGAAAAGGAGCAGGATGAAATTTTAGATGATTCTTAAACACCTTCTTATTGAAGATCAACTTTATAGAAATAATTCATTATGCATTAATAGTGAAATAAGGGGTAAAGACATTTATTTCACAGCCAGTACAAAATTAGAGTGGTTTATATGGATTTTCAAATAAGGTAAGACTGGGTAGGATCAGGAGTTAGGAAGGGGTGGGGACATGCCACGATGCCAGGAGCAGAGGCAAAACCAGGTGGCGTGTCACAGAGCAACTCACTGTTGGTACAGCAGTCGATAAAAATGTAATTGAAGATGATGAAGACTTTGGAAACCCGTCAGGGAGGACCTGATTGATTTTTAAGCTGAGGATTTTGTGCTTAATTACCTCCTTTTTTTATTTCAAGGGAGGGAAGGACCGATGAAAGCCACATTTTAGAATTCCATTTTGATATTCAGGGTGGATTCTGTGTGAAATATCGAGAGTAAGAGCAGTTTAATGACATGGATAAAAAGAGCCCAAACTACGTTTGTTGTAAAATGAATGGACAGGAAATATTGGACCTAAGTTTCATTATGAAAAATCAAATATATATATATATATATATATATATATATTCAAATATATATATGCATATATATAATCAGTGAAAGAAAAAAATTATCTAGTTGCATAGTCTTTACTATCAAAATATAATATTTAACATTATAACATTACTGTATTTACATTGGTAAATAATGTAATGACCTATGATTTTTCTTTAAATTTATTTAAAATGTTGAAGACTTTCATAAATAGTTCAATATACATACTAAACTCCACTGCACTTGACATATACTCTATTCAAAATCACTTACAGGATAAAAAATGGAAATAATTATATACTTAGGTTTGGAGTCTAACTGTATTTCAGAACCTAAGGTGTTAAAAGCCAGCTTTAAATAATCAGAAACACAGTGTCAAAATACAGTCTCAAATCTAGTTTTGGAAATTCTATCACCCACAGGTGTAAATAATTTCTTTAGCTGTTCATGAGGCAAGTTGGAGGATGTTTTCTAAATATCTCCTTAGATGTTCACCCTGAGTAGATGTGAAATAAGTTGACTGAAATAGTAAGGAATGATAGTATTCAAAATTTTAATTTGAAGTCTCATGTATAGTATAAATATATATAAAATATAAATCTAAGTTTTCTAAATTATCTGTTTTTTCTTCATTTCCAATGTACTTTTTCTCTTTTCCTAGTCTTGTTATTGTCCCTTGTAACCCAGTTCTCCAGTGGCTTTAGATCAATATAGTTCCCCTTTTTCAACATAGTTCTCAAGGAGAGCTGTAGATGTTCAGGGAATACAACAACTGGAGAGAAAAGGGACTGGCAGGAAAGTCCTTGCACTCTTCCCCTCCTTTGCAGGCTGTCCTAGAGACTCTTATGACCCCAGGTGTGTAGCCTAGGTGGGCTGCTTCTCAAGGTCCATCAGCTGAATTGCCTCTGGGCCACACAGTCAAGACTCCTTGCCCAGGCAGTGCTCCTGAGCCATGGAGGACCAGCTCACCATGGGTCCTGAGCTTCTGGTATCTCTTGCTGTTGATCTGCAGGTAATAAATCTATTTCAAATAACTCATTGCCCACATGGATGCTCTCTCACTAGGCACAGAAAACAAGCTGCACACCAGTCTTTATAATGTTCTCAAAATTCATGGAGCCTCAGAATCTTCATGTTTCCTTCTCATCACACATAGGATAAGACCAACCAATCATTTTGAAATGGTTCTCCTTAAAAATACTTTGAGTTTTATTCTAACCACTGAGCCTCAGCAGAGAGGATAAGAAGTATGCTATTCTTTATTCTATATGTATTTCTTTATTCTCCTATTCACAAGAAATGCCCCCCCTTTTTGTACCATTCTGACTATATCCAACCAGATCAATTTTTTTTCATATTCATATGAAGCATGAATTTTTGTAATATTGCTTCATTCTCTTACATTTTCCACACCTCTTTGTATATACTGAAGATTTTTAGTGACTCAATATTGTTTCTAATTCTAAGTAGACATTGCCAACATGGAGAAAGAAACCTTTTCTTTAAAATAAAAAGTGTAATATAGAGCAGTTGCTGATTTCTGTAGTATAAATACTCTCATCACAGCCTCTTTCAACCTAAAAATGTGATATCACTTAGCACAAAATTGGAAAGAGATGCTCTAAATTAGCTCGTTAAGAGCTGGTTTGAGCTATCTTCAGCACACCAACAAAAAAATTATGTACATGAAGTGAGATGTCAAACATATTTGAAATTTGAAATATTCAAACTATTTGTTCCACTGAATGTCCTATAAAATGGAAGTTTAAACCTGATGAAAACCACAATGTGTGTTATTTAAACTTCCATGACATTCATATCTAAGGAAACACTGGTAAGAGGTGCATATTTTCCTGGGAAATATCTTTACAAGTTTTACTTTTAACAACATAAATTCAAATGTGTCTAATAGAAGAAAAGAAATGAAGTCTAGGTTGGTAGGTTCATGAATAAATTTATTAAAAATATCTCCAGAAATGTCAGAGAAGGGTTTAGGAATTCAGTGCCATTCTGTTATTGTAGCAGTGATGATAATGCCTTGTTGAGTGATGAAATTCTGAATCAGAGAGTCGTAGTTCTTCACTGAAACAAATGTGCTTTTAACATGCTGTTTTGTTCTTCAGTGGCCCCAAGGACAACCTCTCAAGGCTCTCAGTGATGACACTGGAGGGCACAAAAGGACTTAACATTAAACTATCCTAAAATTCTGAGTTTGCCAGTGAATGTCAATCTCTTCAGTAGAATTCAGGAGACCAACATTTTCCATGGAAATGTTTCAGATTTCCATAGCTAAAGTTCACTATGCAGTAGATTGAGAAATAACATCAAAGGTATAAAGAAGACATCTTCTTGTCAATAACACAGCAGGAATGAGGACCTCCAGCTTGAGCAATGAGATCTGGATCAGGAAAGCAAATCTACACAGTTTGGGAGGATTAGTTCACATGGTGATGTTTTCTTCTGTGGCCTACAACAGACTCTCAAATATATCACAGTGACACTGAATGAAGAGAAAGAACAGCACAATAAAAAAGAGTAGAAAAGTTATGAATTTTTGTGAAATTGTGTTTTCAGAAAAATCCAGAGGACTAGAATCTTCCATAGAAAGAGAAAGGGAAGTAGCCATAGTTATTATCACCATAGCCCCTAAGGCCATAGCTGGAGGTGGAGCTATAGCC